TGCAGCTTGAAAAAAGAAGAATCAATGTTTCTAACTTGGCTTGTTCTTCTTCAGATTGCAACTTTTGTTAGAGAAACTCTTAATATGATTTGGAGAAATCCAAAATCTTCATCTACTTTATATTGCCGACTTTAAGGATTTAAACTTGAAAAAGAAACAACAAATTTATTTCTGATTGAAGAAGCTACTTTGAAAGATGAGATCTTTATTCTTTTAGAAATTTTTTGCCAGTTATCTGATGGTGAGCCTATTTTAGTCAACCATATCATTCCAGCTACAATGATAGATGGCAAAGTTCATACTGTCTTATCAAATGTAAGCATTATCAAGCTCTATTCAATGTTGCTGTATATGTGGGTGTTCACCAAAAGACATTAACAACATCGAAAAAGTTACGAAACTTCCTTACTCACCGTGCGAGCCTCAATATGAATTTTTTACTATTCATTCATGGATAAGATTTTTTGAGTGCCTCTTTCATATTTTATATAAGATACCAATCAAAATGGCAAGCAAGAGGAGACGCAGAGAAGGCTGTTATTAAAGAACAATAAATGAATATAAAAAAAGGATTCCAAAAAAATGGTTATTGACTTGTTATAATGACGGCAATACTGCTCGAAAAGTCATTTAAAATGAAGTTGATTTAGCTGATATTACACGAATAAATAAAAAACTAATTGTAAAGTTGTACATAATCTTTATTTGTATATCAAGTGAATTTGAAACAGTTACTTGTAAATTTCGCTTATTTTGTCTGGAGACCACAAAGCTCTATTTATGTTTGTACCACTGCAGTGGTACAAAAACTTCCAGTGGTACAATGTACAAACATGTCCAATGGTACAAACATTGTCCAGTGTACTAGTATTACATGCCTCAGAGCTTTCACAAGATTTTAATTCATGGAGCAGAAATAATAGAAATTCTATTATTACCAATAGGTCAATTTAATGAAGACGAAAAAAATAAAGAATTTAGAAAATAGAGGGAACATCCTTCCCGTATAAATTCAAGAATAAAGACAAATGAAGATGTAACAAAAAGACTTCTAAGTACATCTGAACCAGCTATTTCATCTTATAGAAAAACTGTTTCATCAGTAAAAAATAAATTTCCTTCAGGCAGTGCCGGATCAAGGAGGAGGGGGGGGGGGGAGCTAGGGGGACTATGGCCCGTTCCCCGCAAATTTAGGGGCCCCCCAATTTTTTTAAAAAGTCATTTAGGCTCTGGCCCATAAAAAGGCCTCCAAAAACAAAAATAGCCCCGGGCCCCAAGAAGTCTTAATCCGCCACTGCCTTCAGGTGTTGTTGAACTTTTTATTTGCGAGAATTTTACATACTAGAATAAAGACAAATTTAATTCGTGATTTTTAAATGTAATTACAAAAAAAACTTTTGATATAAATTTTTAAGTTTTTAGCAATAAATATGAGCTTGATATTTATTGTATATGGTTTTTATAACTAATTTATAACAGTTCTAACAAAAGAAATTTAAAAAATTATTTTGGCACAAAAAACACAGTTTTGTCCTATTGTACAGCGTTCAAAAATTATGACGATGTAAAGTTTAAATCTCCCTCTGTTTAAATTAGAATAGTTTAAATTTATTATCTAATTCTGTATCCACTTCGAATTTTAAAGTTACTGTATTTTATAGGTATGTGTAAAAATTAAAGATTTCATGCTTTTTTCTTATGCATGAAACCGCAACTTATTTTTGTAATTTTAAAAGATACTATTATACTTAAAATAATTTTCAAATAGTAAATAAAGTATTACGAGTATGTTTTATTATTTTTTTTTGAATATAAGTATATAATATATAGTTTTGAATATAATAAATATTTTTTGTTTAAGTTTTGTCCACCACCTGGCCCAGTGTGCATTGTTAACGTTTATTAACACACTTTTTATATTATTAATTTACAATAAAATGGCTATCGAATGAGCTAAATATTAAATGTTCATTTTTTTTCAATTTTCAAAAAATATTTTTTCATTGTTGGAAAACTTGGAAAACTTGACAAACTTTTTAGATTTGTCATGCGCAGCGATAAATTGCGATGTATTGATGTCTCACAGGAAGTTAAAATCAATGGACGTAAAAAGCATCTTTTCATCAAATGAAAAGATGCACAAGCAGCCAGAATTGCTAAAACACAATGAATCAAATCGTTCAACTGCGAATACTTATTTAAATGCATTAAATACAAAAAAAAAATCTGCTAAATCTAACCCTATAAATAAACTTTTAAAATGTTTTTATACTAACGCAACTTCTCCTTATCCAAATAAAATAAACGAGTTATCTGCACTCTGTGATATAAACATGCCTGGTTTAATCTTTATTTGTGAGACATATTTTACCGAAATATCTGCCACTCAATTAAATTACTATTCACTAGTGCATGAAATAATTAATTTAAATTAATTAATTCGTGCTTTAGCAGCAACAAATATTTACTTTTTAGGTAATTTGTCATAAACGTAAACTGTAATTAAATAAAAGCAAAAAAAAAACAAAAAAAAAACAAAAAAAAAAAAATTAAAAAAAAATAAAAGAAAAATTAAAAAAAAAAATAAAAAAAAAAATAAAAAAATAAAAATATAAAAAAGTAAAATGAAAAGAAAAACTTTTTTTTTGTTTTTGAATCTGTTTATTTGATTGTTTTTTCTATTTATTTGTCATGTAATCTATAAAGACTTATTTAAATATATTACTATTACTACTATATTGTTAACGTTTTCTTATTAACAAACTCTTTATATTATTAATCTACAATAAATTGGCTATCGAATGAGCTAAATATCAAATGTTCACTTTTTTTTCAATTTTAAAAAAATATTTGTTTATGTACCACCTTTATGTGGGTAACATTGTTTTTTTTTTTTTTTTTTACAGCTTGGTTAATTGCATATGGTTATAATTTTTTTTTAATTAATTGGTATTATTATGGTGCTCCCCAAAGTCCTTACGGTCTTATCTCAGAGCACCACGGAAAAGCATTTAACTCGCCTTCTTCCTTACCAATGTAGCTTTTTAGACTATGGCCGGTGTCAAACCTCGGACCTATTGATACTGAACCAGAACTCTAACCAATGCGACTGTTTTTAGAGATGGTTTTTCGAGACACGTGTTTATTCTATAATACTTTAGGAAAAGTATTGCAAAAAACATATTAGGGTAGATTAGGGTAATATGAGCAACTTGGTAATATGAGCATACTTAAAGATTTCTTAGATGTAAGCAGTGAAGTTAAAGTTGCTTTGTATTTTTTGAATCAACTTTATGAGGGGATGACAGGAATCAGTACAATTAGCGTAAATTTATTTGCAGTAATTAGCTGCTATCATCTAATTAAAACGCTGTTAAATATTTTTCGTTGTTTAAAAAGTATCATCACGCATGAATAAGTCTGTGGCGCGAAATTTGGTGCTAAAATAATGAAATTAATTTTTTTTTATAAGAAAAAATATGTTAGCTAAAAATCCAATCTATTTTTCTTTGAAAAAAAATGCATAGTAACATTTAGTTTTGACTTTATATAAAGATGCCATTTTTGTGTAGTATGAGCTTGCTCAAATTACCCAGTGTTTTTCATTGAAATTACCTAGTTTAAAGTCCTAAAATTGCAGTGGCTTTAATTTCTTTTTGAAATAAAACAAAACATAGGAAAAAACTTTAATATCTTATCAATACTAAATATTTAGCTGTACTTTAAAAACAAAAAATTTGAATTTTTACTGTCTAAAGGTTTGAGTTAAAAACATTGAAAAAATAACGAACTAATTTTTTTTGTTGTTTTTGTGGAAAACTTAGTTGTATTGTTTCAGCAAAAGTGGTTTAAAATTTGATCTTTTAATGATAAGTTTTGTTAATAATGAATCATTATATTCCAAAAATTAGTTCTAATTGTCAGTTCTAATTATCAAAAATACCAATTGTTGGTATTTTTTTTACTTATATAATATTATTTTTTTGAGCTAGTCTAAAGTGAGCTAGTTTAAAGTGAGCTAGTTTAAAGTGAGCTAGTTTAAAGTGAGCTAGTTTAAAGTGAGCTAGTTTAAAGTGAGCTAGTTTAAAGTGAGCTAGTTTAAAGTGAGCTAGTTCAAAGTGAGCTAGTTTAAAGTGAGCTAGTTTAAAGTGAGCTAGTTTAAAGTGAGCTAATTTAAAGTGAGCTAGTTTAAAGTGAGCTAGTTTAAAGTGAGCTAATTTAAAGTGAGCTAATTTAAAGTGAGCTAATTTAAAGTGAGCTAGTTTAAAGTGAGCTAGTTTAAAGTGAGCTAGTTTAAAGTGAGCTAGTTTAAAGTGAGCTAGTTTAAAGTGAGCTAGTTTAAAGTGAGCTAGTTTAAAGTGAGCTAGTTTAAAGTGAGCTAGTTTAAAGTGAGCTAGTTTAAAGTGAGCTAATTTAAAGTGAGCTAGTTTAAAGTGAGCTAGTTTAAAGTGAGCTAATTTAAAGTGAGCTAGTTTAAAGTGAGCTAATTTAAAGTGAGCTAGTTTAAAGTGAGCTAATTTAAAGTGAGCTAGTTTAAAGTGAGCTAGTTTAAAGTGAGCTAGTTTAAAGTGAGCTAATTTAAAGTGAGCTAGTTTAAAGTGCTTCTATAACTTAGCGGTCTGGGTAATATGAGCACTTTTACTACTTTTTTACAACCTTTGTGTTTTTAAGAAAAAAATTTTGGGTGTCCAAACATCTAAGTCATGATTAGGGATTCCTACATCATGAGTGGGGATTCCTAAAAATTTTATTTTATTCGTAAAAATGTTGGATCCAGCATAATTATTTTTGAAAAATGTTGCAATTTTCGCTTAAGATGCTCATATTACTCTAATCTACCCTAACTAATTCTACTTAAAAACTGAAAACTTGTGCATGTAATGAATCATTATGATAAAACTAGGGTTGTTTGAAATTGTAAAAATTCCTACCCGGGTAACCGTTGTTTGTTTTTTCCAAATTTTTTTCCAAAAAAAATTTTAAATTAATGATGTCACTTATTTAGATATGTTTTTTTCTAAATTTTATTTTACTTCAAAAATCCAGGTTACACAAGTCTCTATTACGGTTAAAAAATACAAGCCCACTGTTTTAAGAGCCAAAGATGCACGCTGGCGATTGACCTCATGCCTAGCAGTTGAGAAAGCGTATAACGATGACACTGAAATCCCATGTATGCACATGTTCTTGTGTGCTAAAGTAACAATAATATATTCTATATTTGGTTTTGAAAAACATTTTTCCGAGAGACAATTTATTAAAAAAGTTATATGAATTTTTGTTTTACGTAAAGACAAACATTTCACACAAGATTAATAATAATAATATTGAGAAATAATAATAATAATAATATTGAGAAATAATAATAATAATAATAATGAGAAATAAAAAGTGGGGATCTGAATTAGAACATTCCAAACGTTGTACTCAATGTTTGTAAAAATTCTGATGATGATAAACAAATTGTAACTATTAAAATTTTTAACAACAAAATCTTTAAGATCTTTTTTCATTACAATTTTTTCATTAAAATTTCACCAAATTAATTTTATTAAATTGTTATATGAATCGCTTACTTTAAAAAGGGATGTCTCCTTTTTCAAGTTAGCGATTCATATTAGATTAATCGTTTTAAAGTATAAAAAGAATGAATTGAATTTTAAACTTATATAATGACAGTTACCGATCATTTTATAAGTTTAAAATTCATTTGGAAATGCGACAACTGGTGGATACCCGGGTGTATCCACCAGTTGTCGCATTTCCACCATACAGTATCTGTCAACAGCTTTAGATAAAACAAACATACTGACAAATTACTATTATTCCGTGACTGACAGATTTGAAAAAACTAAAAAAATTTTAAAATGTTGGTCATCTTACCCACGTTGCTCTACGGATTACTTGAAAAGAAAATAAATTCGAATTTAAATACGACTCTAACTTTCCAATTCTTGAATAAACAATGACGATGAAAAAATTAAATTCTTCTTGGATTATAAACGGATTTAAAAATTTTAGAAAATAAAATAAAAGTTTCAAATAAGTTTTTTAAAAGCTAAAACAATTGCATAAGAGAATATATACTTTGTCGGAAAAAATAAGTCGGACTAAACTATACGCAAAACTATACGCAATTAAAAATTAAGTCTTGACTAAAATTTAATTTGACAAAATATTAAATTAAAGTCTGGTTTATTGACTCTTTAATGACAGGTTTTCTAGCCAAGTAAACTTGTCATTAAAGAATTGAAAAACGCGATCAAAACCTTGTTAAATATTAAAAATTTATAAAGATAAAGAAGAACTTTAATTACTTCATTTATACTTTTTAAAAATAAAATAAAAATTTAAAAATGCTATTGGTTCCTCTTTTAAATGTATCCATAATGAGAAAATGTTGGCATTTGAATTAGTAGATCACTACATACTTTTAGAAAAGTTAAATGACTATAAATAATAAACAAAACATATCGTTGGGTTAAAAGCTATCTTACTAACCAAAAACATTATATAGTCAATCCGGATTCTGGTACATTTAGCACTTTGTGCGAAGTTTCACCAGGTTCAATCCTCAGCTCTCTCCTATTTCTAATTTATATAAATGATTTTTGTAATGTATCTGCAATATTAAATTGTATGCTAAATACTAATTTATTTATATCCTATAATGATACTAATCAACTATATGAATATTGAGCTGACGAAAGTAAATAAATGGTTCCGAGCTCATAAGCTCTCAATAAACGCAGATTGTATGAGCTTGCTCAAATTACCCAGTGTTTTTCATTGAAATTACCTAGTTTAAAGTCCTAAAATTGCAGTGGCTTTAATTTCTTAAATTCAACATAATTTTAATTTCTTTAAATTCAACATAAATTATTTTATGAAAAAACATAAGAAGAAAATCTGAATATAAATTACCAGCTCTCTTTATAAATGATAAAAAAATTGAAAAGCAGTAGTTTTTAAAATACCTACAAGTTTTTGCTGATAAAAATTTATCTTAGCTTACTCACATAAAATACATCAAATCAATAATAATCAAAACAATTGGCATAATGTACAGAGTAAATCCATTCATAAATACTTAAAGTCTTAAATATTACTTAAGCCTAATTCATAGCTACATTATGATAACATTGCACAGGCTAGCACATAACCCGCTTAACTTAAAAAGATATTTAGTGTGCAAAAATATGCTAGCAGAAAATACTAAAAAAAAACATCTAATTATTGTTATAAATTAAAAAAATAGGATTCTATGAAAAGATTGTGGTGATTCCGGTTATCCAAATTATACTCCATACTGGAGTTTCTGTCTGTCTGGGGTGGCTTCATCTCAGAGCGACAATAGAAAGGAACCAACCGAATATTTGATATGTCATAAAATCTTATCGCCATTGAATTCACAACAAGTTTTTCAATGATTATCAAAAAGGAACCAATTCCATTATCCACTGCTCACCTGTTATAATACAGTTTAAAATGTTAATATGCGTTTCAGTTGAAAATTTTTGTTAAATGTCATTATTTCAGCTAGAGATTTTTGTAGTTGGTTCCTTTCTGTTGAGTACCACCCAGTTGTTAAATGAGATCCGTGTGGTTAGGATAGGATAACTAGGACAACAGTGGCTTGAACGCTTATATGCTGCCTAATGTCAAGCCCCAAAAAAACTCCCTGCTTATTATTGACATTTGTTTATGCAGAAAACTTCTAAACCGGTATCTCAAAACTGCACTTTCCTTAACCTGGACCTAAAAATTGTCTAATAAGATCCGGTTTGATGTGCATAGGTAATAATACCACATTTCGAATTTTAACTAAGGAAAGTTTCTAACGCTGCTAGTTCTAGAAATATCCACATCACGTTGTTGCCAATGTTTACTTATATAGTGCTTAACACGACTTCGTGAAATACATTTAATCAAATACAAATACGTTAATTTTTGATTTTCAAATACAAATTCAAATGAAATATATTCAAATGAAATATATTCAATCATTTTCCAAATACAAATATTTGTACTTTCAGTTAAAAAAAAATATCAAGGTTTTTTCAAGGCAAGACTAATAATATAGTCTACTAAATAAAAAAATGAAAAGTTATGTCATTGAATCAATCGATCTTTATGCACAGCAATACACTGTCGTTTCCTTTACATGCCATAAAAAGTAAATCCCGATATTTAAAAAAAGTTGTGGGTAATAGACACAAACTGATTTTTTAAAATCTGGAAGATTTAAAAAACAGTCGAATTAGAGCAAAAAGATATCGGCTTTTATGAATTTTCATTAAATCGTTGGTTTCATTAAAACTTTTGTTTGTTGTACAATATTTTTTAAACCATTTGTCTTGCTCAAAACATTTTTAAAAAGAAATTAAAGAGCTTATTCTATTTAAAGCTCCGATTTTGATATTTTGAATAACTAAGAGAATAAATATTTAAGCTCTACTGTTAACAAATGTAAACCAAACGTAGTATATAATGTATATATCATTTGCAATACGACATCCTGTAGCAGGGTATCGTATTTTATATTACAGACCAATTGCCTCCAACGCTTTCTTATCAATGTAGGGAGAACGTTTTAATGAAATAGTTGACTAGTTGACATGGCTTTATATACACCATAGGCAGGGTATTTAATTAAATTAGTTAGCCCAACGTCATCATATCGAAGTTGAAAGGACGTCGCATTGAGCTGGAGCAACCAACTATAAAGCTTTATTAAAATGGCCCCAAATTCTGGTGTTATCAGAGAAACAACACCAAATTTTTGTGTGTTATATTGGTTTTTTGGTTAAAGTATAATTAAAAAAACTATTAAACAGTGTTTTTTGCTAATATAATAATTTTATAGTTAGGGTGTGTAGCACAAAAGCCGCTGAAACCTTAAAAACAAAATTAGAAATTTATTTTTAACGAAATACTTGAAGGTTACAAAATTGTTATACTTTTTTTTTTTTTTTTTTTTTTAAATTAAACGCCCAATATGATATTTTCAACTATGAACGCATTAACGAGGAAAAGCCGTAGTAGGATTACAATTAAATAGCCGTAGTGGGATTACGATTAAATAACCGTAGTGGGATTACGATTGTCTACACCTTAATCTAAGGCATAGACAATCGTAATCCCGTCTCTACATTAGCACATATTTATTATAAAGTGAATGGTTCCGCATTAGACAACAGGATGAGAAAATTAAAATATTTGTTGACTTATTGGTTTTTATAAAATCTTTAATAAAAACCATTGAGTAAACAAACGTAAAAAAAAAAAAAAAAGTTAAATAAAAAAAGGGCTCTTTATTTAAACAAATCCCTTTTCTTACTAATGAGCTAACAAATCTAAATTGTTCAGATTTTTTTTGTTTCAAAAATTGAAAATAGTTTTAATAAAGTAAAGTTTTGAAAATAGTTTTAATAAAGGTAAGTTTTGAAAATAGTTTTAAGTAAAGTAAAGTTTTGAAAATAGTTTTAATAAAGTAAAGTTGGAACTGTAAAACAATTTTATTGAAAAACAAATAAAACTTACAAAAACTTAATTCTAAAAATTATTACATTTTTGTAAATACCAGAAATAAGCATACTCGATTACCATACTTGGTTTTGGTTGAGACTTTTCATTAGATTTTTCATCCCCGCTTGCCCAAACCTGATTTGGCTCATGAAAATGTTAAACCTGAAATATGATTTTAAACAAAAAATATTAAAACTTTTTCTCAATGCTGTTTGGAGTTCTTATATTATTAGTGTCTGAATATGAACAAGATGTTCTCAACGATGTCTTCGTATACTTTGCTTAAATTTCCATGCCTAACTCCTAGAATTAGGCATGGTAAAAAACTTTTTTTCCTGAAAAACTCAACACTCTTTATGTAGTTTTCCAGTAATCAGTCAGAAATAGTGAAGCCAATGACTATTTTATTATCTAAAAAAAATCAGCAGTTATTTATGCAAATTTGAAAACTGTTTTTATCAATTTTTATAAACTGATTTGCTAACAAAGTTTATCGTTAGGGGATGTCCATAAAATATGTCACGCAGCTTTCTCTCTCTTCCCCCCCCCCCCCACCTTGTCACAACATTGTAACTCATTAGTAACAAGTCCCGTACGATTTGTCACAAAACTACTAACCCCCCACTCTCTCCTAGAGCATGACGTAATTTATAGACAACCCTTCAAACTGTACAAATGATTTGTCGTTCTTAATATCTAAGGATAAACGTGACTTTTTTGTAAAAAAATAAAAAAATAAAAAATAAACTAGCTTTCACAGAATATTCTAATCATCAGAACATAGTAATGATACTAACTCTAACCCAAACAATGTTAATGTAGTAAATCAAGTAAAGGTACTCTATCCTTTAAATATATATATATATATATATATATATATATATATATATATATATATATATATATATATATATATATATATATATATATATATATATATATATATATTTTAAAGAAATTATGTTTTTAATTTACTTTCAATAATTTTTATAGAAGCCTTTTCTAAGGATAATTTGAAATTGTATCTATAATGTGAGAGTTAACATCTATAACGTGAGAGTCAAACATCTATAACGTAAGAGTCAAGCATCTATAACGTGAGAGTCAAACATTTATAACGTGGAAGTTAACATCTATATCGTTAGAGTCAAACATCAATTTACAATTACATATATTTTTTAATTAACTCTAACTGATTTTTTGTAACTAAATGTTTACTAAGTTTTTTTTTTAAATTAGACTATTCCTTGACTAGTTTCCAATTTTAGTAAATATGAAAACGTTTTTAAATTACTAATGAGATCTAATATTAAACGCTTACTAATGAGAACTAATAATAAAACGTTTTTTATTCTGCTATCTGCTTTGTTTTATAAATGTTTATACCTATCAGATAGAGGGATTGTCGTAATATAATTATGTATTATAATTATAAGAATGTGAAATATGCAAAGTATTGAATTGTAGAGGTGGTAAGAGGAGGAGCAGGTGGTAAACCAAAATAAAAGGTCTTTATTTAAACAGGAAATATATAAATTAATTGGAATGATCAGCTATCTGTTAATTTTTCAAATTATAAAAAAGCGATTCATAATTTAGATAATGAACAGTATGAAAAAAACTAAACTATGGGTTCCATTTTAGATTCTTACATAACAAAGAGGCGGTTGACGTCCGTTATTTTTCATTTGCTATTTACTATTTATCGTTTACTATATCTAACGTACTTTTTATATTTATTTTACAAGTCGTTGACGTATCCATAATCTAGCAAAAAGTTCTAAAAATAACCATTTTTGTGACGCTCAACAACATAAACAAGCAATTTTAAAAGACTTTATATCGTGTTATATGTAAGGCAATCTTTAATTTGTTAACTATACTCGATAAATTTAAACTTTATTTCGATGAAACATCAAATTAAAGTTTAAAATTATTTAATACTGTTTGCTATAAAAAAAAGACTTTAGAAAATTAGTTAAATTAGTACTTATCTTAAATAAATCAAAAAAAATAAAATTCATTTTTTACCCCCGTTATTTATATACTATTAAATAGTTAATTACTTGACATAGTTATACGGTATGTTTATGTATCAAATTTAATGTATGTTTATATAATAACTTTCTACGTTACAAAAATCCATCTTTTTTTTAATATTAATTTTTTTTGTTTAAAAAATCATCAGCAAGAAAGCAAATATCCAAGTTTAATCATATCTTATCTTTCAAATTAAAGAGATCTTTTCTGAAGTTTAATCTTAGACGTTAATATATTTATAGACATAGACATTTTTATAAAGATGAGCTCGACGCTAATATTTATAAATCAGATTTGCAGTTTGCTAATAACAATTAGAATTTAAATTCTTTTTTTGAAACAACATTGTTAACATTTTGTTATTAATTTAACATTTACGTACAACTGATCTTTACGCTAATATTTGTAATTTAGATTTACTTATGCTATTCGCAATTGTTGTCTTTATTAAAATCAATCAAACCAGGTTTTAACATTTGTTTAGGTTTTAACAGGTTTTAACATATATATATATATATATATATATATATATATATATATATATATATATATATATATATATATATATATATATATATATATATATATATATATATATATATATATATATATATATATATTTGTATTGTATTTATTTTTTAAATAAATTTACAAAATTTTTGGACCTTCACTTCAATAATATCTCAACGGTTGTTCAGCAATAACAAGATAAAATAATGCTCAACGGTTGTTCAGCAATATTAAGATGTCAAAATTAAAATTTTAACTCTCTTTCCTGCAAGACTGGTTCAAGGTTTTATTGAGATCAAGGTTTGATACCCCAATTATAAAAAAAGTGTATTCTTTAAAATTCAGAAAAGGATATTTTGAGGGTATAATATTTTTATAAGTTTTTAAATAATAGAGTAGTTTTAATAATTTGATGTTTCTTAAAATTTAAAATGAACAATCAAATATATTAACAAATTAGGTTATATAAATAAACCAATAATTTTTCACGGCAGTTACTACAAAAAAATGGTATGTTTATTATTAGTTTATCAAATAATGTGTTTTGGTAAATTGAGTACGTTTACTTTCAACTACTGTCAAAGCTATAGATTAATAGTTTTCATCTAAAATGCTTAGACATCATACAAAGTGACCAAATTTGAAATCTGTAATGTTCTTGGCAATTCCCATAGCTTTTTCAGAAGTATTTATCTAATCATTAGGAATTTGAAGTTGATATAAAGAAAACGTCATAAACCTCATCAATGTGGTATCGTAAAGGTTCAAGCGCTTCTACCCTGCTTTCACAACGGGTTTCGCTAAGAGGTTTTACAGTCAAACTATTTACACGATTTGGTAATGCTCCATCTATGGGTTGATCCAGAAAATTTTTTTTCTGAATATTGCCAAAAAATTAACAGCTACAGTGCAGGAAACGGCTGCATCATTGACAAAAGTTTTAGTGAATGGCTTCCACAAAGAACGAAAAAAGTTTATTATCATAACCTTAGCCACGCATATTTTGTAAGAAAATTTCTTTTTTTGAAAGTTTGTCTTTCGAACCAGTTGCAATCCTTGACCAGATGTATCTGAGACCTGAAAAAATCCAAGAAAATATTCTCTCACGTTTACTTCTTTTCCTGGAACTGCGTAGACAAACCAAACTATAAGTGTCATTTGTTCTTTACGGTTTACGTCAGGAGAACAATCAAGAATTATATAATAATACAAAACATTCTGCAAAAGGTTAAAGTTGAAATACAAAATGAGTTTGCATACCAATAGTCAGTTTCAGTTTGAATCATACATTGATGCTGAACATCACTAGTATGGCTTAACTTTAATCTTGTGGCAAGTTCTTACTAAAAAATGATTGTTTTTCAATGAGGGGTGTACCTTCTATATGTGCGTAAAATATTTGACATTTTTTTCCAATCAGAATACTCCTCCGTTTCAGAAAGACATATGTCATCAGTGCTAAACAGCTTGCAAAAAAATAAATTGACTTTTTTGATATTAGATACACCAGCCAACACTCGTCAATGTCTTCTCCGTTTGGCAACTTTCTTTTGTAATTGACAACTGTGCCTGCCTGAGCTGCTGTATATAGGAAAGTTATAAGTTTTAACCTGTATTGATTTTTATCTCAACAAGTTATGGATGCGAAAAGTTATTTTTCGATATTTTTTTTAATTTTTTTTTTTTCAAAAAAAAAATTAAAAAAAAATTTCGGCTATGCCATCGCGGCATTGACGACGTTTTTTTTAGCCGATACTCCAGCCACGCTGGCACCCTATGCGACTGCATAATTTGCATTGCTCTTACGCCGGCCCTGCCTTCCTGAATTGATAAACAAAGAAAACACTTCATGTAACACGCCATTTCGAGAGTATACTTTATCTAATTTATTTTTTTTATGTGTGTTTTCTCAAACATACCTGATTAAACTTAAAATCAAAGCAAACACTGTCCAAATTTAAAACATAACTTAGGGTTTGTCAGCGTTTGAGTTTTCGAATATAAATTGGGTATAACAAATAAGAAAACAAATTAGAATTTTAACCCTAAAAAGAAGAAATGCCTCTTCAACTTACAACGTGCAAAACAAATAAGCAATGATGTCAAGTTGTTTTTAAATTTTTTTTATTACCTATTTTTGTAATATTACCTATTATGCAGTAATAGGTAATATTATAAGGTAATATTATAAGGTAATATTAAAAGGTAAAATTACTTATTCCTTACAAAGGTAATAAAACGATAGTATTACTTAATTGCATATTGGCATAATTTATTTTTATTTGAACTGATTATAAATTGTATGTTTATTTAAAATAATAGCAGCTTGTATGTTTAATAGGACTAATAGTAGTTTTATTTATTACAAACAGGTTGCTATAACAACCTGTTCACGGTAAATATAACTTTATTATTACTTTAAACAAATTGCTTTTGTTCTTGTGCATTATTTTTTTTTAGGGAAAGATTGTTTTTTATTTACAGGATTTCGAAGTGGGAGGGCACAATTGTCAATTTTTTTTAAAGTCCTTTATATCTAGAAATTTCTTATTAATAAAAAAAAAGAAAGAAAAAAAAATTCATTTTGAAAAAAAGTGGGTGAGGGTGGAGAGGGCTATTTGTATATTTTTACATTAAAAAAGAAACTGCTGCTTTACAAATTATTATGGAGTTTGTGACTAACAGTTATAAACTCAAATCAGAAATCTAATTGAATATATTTATAGGCATGATCACGAATTACTTGTTAAAGGAATAAACTTAAAAAATTAACAACTTAATAATATATACTTAAAAAAAATTTGCATGGTGCATTACATTAGGTTATTATTTATTTCAAAAAAAGTTTCTCAAACATAAATCTTATTGAGTTGTTTAACATAAAATGTTGCATAAAATTGGGATCATCAATCATTTTATTAACATATTAAAACAAAATTATCTTCTATTAAAAATCGAATATTTTTCACAAGAGTGTGCAGGATGTTATCAAAATTGTAAAAATTTAGTTTCCATAATGAAGAGTTTTTCTCTTAAATTGAATTTTTTTGCTACAAGTCGTGGTAATTAAATGTGTGATGGAATAGATAGTTAAATCAAGCACTTACCAACGCAATCTAGTCTACAAAGAGTAATAATGAGTAATCTTTTTTTATATATATAAATGTTTATTTTACAACTACAAAGTATTGACAAGTAACCAATCACAGATTGGCGGTAAAGATATAAAAATATAAATATCATAAACATAAAGTTTCGAAATATACGAAGTAAATGAAAATATAGTTGCATACAACTCCGAGACATGATTGAAATAAATACCAATTACAACAATATAATAACGTGTACGTAAACATAATCCGAGAAATATAACTCTATATTCTAATTAAAATAAAAAATACAATAAGTAAAAATAAATCTGCTTATTTTTCGGACTTAAAATATTGCTGGTATACATTTTTTTAGTTAAAAGGTACACCAAGATGAACTAAAAACAACAAGAAAAAGAATTTATCCAGAGAGTTCTTTTTTTCTTGCTTATGTCGCTTCTGGGCATTATTGGTATCGATGATCTCGGATTACTTGGCTGTGTCTCTAATCACTGCGCGACAGATGCCACATGCCACAGATGCTTTTTTCTTTTTATCAGAAAATTTAAGTTGCAGAGAAACACCCTGAAAAAAAATTGGGTACTAAAACTACTATACCTTGAACACTTAGCTTAAGCGCAGTAGTGAGAGCGCTTGCTTAATTAGCAAAAGATCCAGAATTCGATGCAAGCTCTGGGCGTATTTCGTGCTATCGATAAGAAAGGAGGCGTGAACTTCCTAGTTCACGTCTCCTTTGCGCCTCCTAGCTCTTCCGCGGTGCTCTGTGGCAAGACCGTTTTGTCTTCTTGGCACCTTAAACAAAAATAAAAAAAAAAAAATAAATTACCATAGTTACCGTAGTTAGTCTGAACTACTTGATCATAAAATATGTTTATTTATTTTGCCTTTATTTAAATTTTTTTTTTTTATTCTTCCTTTATTACTTCATCTGAAAACATTGTCAAAAATAATTTTTACTTTTACTGTTTCTTTATAAAATCTTAAATAAAACATAAACTTTACAAATTTAGTAAAATTGAATTAATGCAAACGTTTATATTTTGTTTAGATATGTGCATGCAGTGTTGTTGAAGAACATGCATTTATTCACACTTTTGAAAACGTCTGAAAATAACTTTAAATTTTGAACAGGTGGTTACGCCTGGGTTTCCAACACACAAAAACGTTGAAAAAGCGTTGAATCTTCGATGATATTAATTTAATGACTACTATTGCTCTAAGAATAACCAATACTGAATGTCAGACGTCTTTTGCAATCAAAGTACTTAACACAAAAACTTTCCAACTTTTATGTCAAAAACGGTTTAAAAACATTTTCTAAGGAAATATTTTTATATTAAAACTAATTTCAAGTTTGTTAGTGCTGGTATACTTTATATGATATACTATTTGCATACTTTTGAATTTTTTTTTTTTTTTTTTTTTTTGTATTTTTTATAAATAATATGAATAAAACCTTCCGCTCAAGCATTCTTTTTAAAAATGACTTTTATACCTTTTAATTTTAAAAAAGTAATTTATAATATAAAAAATAGAATCACTAAACTTTTATTTTACAATTGATTTGCACTTTATTTAGGGTCGGACTGGCCAGGGAGGTCCGGGGTTGGATTTATTGATTTTCAAAAGTTGGTTGATTGATTAAGTGCTAATTTTAAATATTGCAAAATATTGTCTCCATCCAAATATCAACAAATCCTTCAAAAAACATAAAGCAAAAAATTATTTTTTATTATCATATTTACATGTATAATATATAGATATTAATCAAACTATATTACCATGACTATTTCACAGTGACAATTGAACAAACTTTAAGTAACTGTAAATAGATAGGAGTTTATTATGTGTGTTAAATTTGAATGAAATTGGTAATATAAGTTTTAATGCGTATTTGACATTAAATCAACCGGAACAGTGTCGGATCAAGGGGAGGGGGAGGGCTAGGGGGCTATAGCCCCGGGCCTCGCAAGTTGAGGGGCCCCCAAAAATTTAAAAGGACATTTTTTTTTTTTTTAATTTTTTAATTTTAGTCACAGTCATTCAAAGATGTAGAATGTTTGTAGAATAACTAAAGATGTAGAATGTTTGTAGAATAATTTTAGTCACAGTCATTCAAAGATGTAGAATGTTCATATTTCACATTTCACAATTCATATTTTACATTACAAACATTATTTCAAACTATTTCTTTTAATCTCCTAAAATATTTTCTTAACTGTTAAACTTGAACACGCCTTCAAATTATTTCCCATAGTACTTTATTGGTTCAAGTTAAAGGAGTTTAAATTTATTTATTTATTTATTTCTCTTTGTGTTTTTGTTTTTGAAACATTTGTTTCTTTTTGTGTTTGTGTTTTTGAAACATTTGTTTGATAAACTGTTTTAATGGAAAAAAAATAAATATTTAATGGAACTTGACGACACGGATACTATGTTATTCAACATAAAATAGCTCAAGACATTCTATTCAAAAAAAAAAAAATAAAAACAAAAAAAAAACATTAATTGGTAGCTCGTGATAATAAAAAGGAATATTTTTTTTTTTAAATTTCGAAAAAAATAAGTTTTGTTTTGAAATAAAAAAAAAAGGATATTTTTTTCAAAATTTCCAAAAAAACATTTTTTGAACTAGACCTTATATTTATATATATATATATATATATATATATATATATATATATATATATATATATATATATATATATATATATACATTTATATATTTTCCTTCTACCAATGTTATAATATTCTAACATATTAGCTGGGTTGGTTAACTTGGCCGCATAGTTTTTGACCTGCAAATTATAAAAAAAAATTTGTAATAGACGTAGACATACCTAATCATGACTTTACAACAGTAACCACATATCCGTTCGTATTGCTAAGAGTTTTTGGCGACTTATAAATTTGTTAAACAAATAAATTAAAAAAAAAGCAAATAGAATTAACAAGCAACTCGGATATCTTAATGTCTAGCTTATAGCATCATCTGAATTTTCCATTTAAATGTTTATGTGTGTATGATGGATAGCATATTTTTGAGTGTTCAATGTAAATACTTTGTGTCGGATCGTATGATTTTAGTCATTCATTGAGGAATATTCCAATTAAATCTTTTTGAAATTTAAACTACTCTTATGAGGTTAAATTAAATAGTAAAAATCTCTTGTCTATCATAGGATATAAAAGATTCATTTAAAAAAATATAGCTAATAGGAATTAAATTTTTTTTTTTATAATCTCTCTTAATTTTGCTATCAAAATTTCAAAAACTCTGTTTTTTACATAATTTATGTAACAAAAAAAAGTTTTACAGAAAAAGCTACTTTTTATAACAACTTTAAAAATTAACAAATATCTTTGCATTACATACATAAATGCATTTATGTACAGGCATAGCACAAGTAATACTTAGTAATTATTGAAAACATAAAACTTCAAAATAATTTGTAATATCACTTTTATTCACAAGCTGTAAAAAAATTTTATTAGTAACGTATTGTTTGTTTAAAAAAAAAAGTAGTTTTTTAGTAAAAGAGGTCAAATACCTTAACACTCTAAAAAAGAGAATTTAAAAAATATTTTATCATCAACTTTTAAAAAATTTTGCTCAGAATGTAGGCAGTTATTAAAAAGTTCATACTTTTTTGTTGTTAATTATATAACCTAATTTACATTCAGTTGTTCTTAACTGGTATGATTTAAATATTTGACTTGACTACCCGGACTCACTTGTAATGCTTAACGTCTGATGATTTCAAGCAATTTTTTTTAATAGTAAATTTTTATAAGTATTTTTTTGCAATTTCGATGGCTAAAATATAAAAACTACTAATAATCTTTTTTTGAAATAAATTGTCAAAATTAACTCATATTTTAAGCGTTTAATACTAATTTTTTTATTAATATTAATCAAAATGTAACAAAAAATAGAGGTAGTTTTAAAAATATAATTAAATAATCATTATGATTCTGCTACGGACCTGAGCGGATATAACTTAAGCCCTGATTTTTAGACACTGTATTAGTTAATTAAATATATTGCTTTAAAAACATCCTAAACATCATTTTAAGCATGCACACACACAAAAATTCAATACACTTGTTCTATTTGGCAAAGATTGAAACTGTTAAAACAAATAGATTATAAAAAGCATAAATATATTTAGCAAGCTACTTAAGTGCGTTATAGTATGTATCAGGTTTCTATTTGATTAGCGGTGGATGTTATTTGATTCGTTTGAATTTACCAAATTGGTTTAAGATACTATTTACTACTTATTCGGTTAACAAAAATTCAAAAATTCAACTTTTCCCATAAGCGGTTCCGTAACCCAATCTTTAATTCGTAACCCAATCTTTAATTCCGTAACCCAATCTTTATTCCTTACTACATAATTTTTCTTCCAAACATTTATTTTCCCAAAAATAAATGTTTGGGAAGTAACAATTATATTTAAGTTTGAGGATCACATTAATTAATTTTGCTAATACATTTGACGTGTTCTAAGAAAGATGTTATAAAACATATTTTAAATAAAAATTCAAAAAAAAAAAAAAAAAAAAACCATCGTGGCTGTGCAATTACTTTTGATTTGGAAATCTTTGTTAATTTGATGCCAAAGTTATGATAAGAAAAGGCAAAATTTAAGATTAAATTTTTTATTGTACCTACCATTTTAATGAATTTTATCTCCTAAATCATTCCATTTACTTAACTTATAATTTGGCAGGGCCCAGTTAACAACTAGCTGAATTTGGCAATTTCTTGCAGCTAGTTTTGTTGTAAAAAAAATTCAATTTAATGAATTTTTTATTTATTAAAAAATTTTGTAATGTAAGATAAAGAATACTCAATATTAATATTTTTTTGCAAACAGATGAATAGTTATTCTAAAATGTTCTTTAAATTTTTTTCTTATATGTTCTTCATCATTTTAATATGTTCTTCAAACTTTACAATGATGTTCTAAATTTACCATTTTTACCTTATTCGAATCTAATTTGTGTTCGGGATTATAAATTACTATAATATACTACTATAAATATAATATACTTACTATAAATATAAATTTCTGAGTATTCGAAATTTAAAATTATTTGATATTTTTTGATTATTTCTTTGAATTAAATTTAATTGGTTGTTGCTGTTTTTGTTGTTGTTGATGTTATTGTTGTCGTTATTTTTGTTGTTGTTGTCGTGGTTGTTGTTGTTGTTGTTGTTGTTACTTTTTAACAAATTAAAGTTAATAGGGAATTTGAAGAAGATTTAGGAGCGACACTGAAAAAAAAAATCAATACATCTATATTTGTATTTGTAAATCAAAAACATCTAGTTTTTAAAGAAATGGATAATTTAGTCTGTCGCTTTAGTATGTTTGATAGAAAATTATTATATATCACAAATTCTTGGAATATGTGTAAATATTTACAATATTGCAGAGCCGAATTTGAATGTATTTTATTCTGATTTAAATATGCATAAAATCACTACAGGTTAAAAGGCAAAGTGATTAACATTTAATGGATGATTTAACTTTTTTTAAAAACTTCGATGAGTTTTCATAAAACATTTAAACGACATTTTGACATTATTTCTGAATCAGCTAAAATAGCATGTCAAAATGCGAATAACACAGGTAAGTAAAAATACTCAGTTTTACGTAGATTTTATACTACTAGCTAAAGCAGATTGCCTCAGAATACTTGAATAGAATTTTACACTATAAAAAATATTATCTTAATTAAGTGATATTTCTTGTTCCTTATTGGAAAAACTTCACAAAAGTATATAAAATGTTATTTCAACAGATGAGTAAGTTTATTTTAAGATTATCAGACTACATGTTTTAAGATTATCAGACTACATGTTTTGTTTAAAAAACTGTTCATCTGCGGAGTGCAACAAACTAAATATACCCTTTTTATACTAATTATTATTGGTACTGATTTATACTGATTTATATTTTGTACTGATTTATACTTATAAAAAGCATAACTATGTTATATTAGATGTCGTGTGTTGAAAAAAACTTCAAACAAGTAATATCATTTTAATTTAAATTTTATTAAGACAAATTTACTTCTTGTGAGTAAAATTTGATTAATAATTACAAGCAAAATTTACTTTTTTCAAATTTTAGGCTTTACAACAGTGAATTTTACAACAGTGAATTTTACTTTTGTCAAGCTTTACAACAGTGAATTTACTTTTGTCAAGCTGTACTACAGTAAATTTACTTTTGAGAAATAACAAGTGTGTAAAATTATTGTTTTTTTTAAAGCATTCTATCAAAAGATAGAAACTAAAAAAAAAAAAAGATAACAACTATATTAAATTTGTTAAACATAAAAATTGGCCATAATATTAATTTTAAATATTCGTATATTTGTAATTTTAAATATTCTTACATTTCTTTCTTTTAAAAATTCGTACATTCGTGCAGCATTAAAACCTAAAGACCATATTTGCAAATCCAAAGACTTTACGTTGTATATATGAACTTAATAAAACTCTGAATTTTTTCAACCCTTTAACAGACCTCCAGATAAAATGGTGTACGCTTAATTATTTTTTTTAAATCACAGCTTCATAATATTATTTTGTCACATACATTTACATTTTCAATTTTAAGTCATAGCAATAATATAATGTAACCGAACCGTAAGAATTACGTTATTTAATCGTACTTGGATATTTTTACTTTTTAAAAAACATAAATAAATTTCATTAAAAATAAAAATTTTTCTTCTAAAAATTATTGTTTTTCTTCTACTGCTTTATCAACTTCTCTTGGATTTGATACAATAAATTTTCAAAAAAATTGTCGAAATAATAACAGTCAGCTGTTATTTAGCTCCTTGCTACAAAATGTTAGCTTGTATTAGCTCAAAACTTAAAATAATGTCAGCTATCTTTGCTGCTTCTGCTTACATGTCTAAGCTGGTTTATTAGCATTTTAAACTCTATTTGCAAAAACAATTTTTTGCGATGAAAGTTACTCGTCTCTACTACATTGTCGACAATTACACTCAATAGGGTTTTGAATTTTTAGTTTTTTTACAACATTCTTGTCATTTTCTTTACAGTTTAAGTCTATTTCAAATTCTTGAAACAAAATAGGTTGACAACATGCGCAAAAACCGGCACTATTTATACCATTTACATCCGGTGATCCTGAATTTGAATGGCAAGCACCAATACATTTGTTCATGCGTAATTTCCTTGCGTAACATCCCGGAACGTTAATTTTTTCGGCGTTGACCGGAACTGCGGAACAATGGTAGCTCGTTTCCTGATTTAACAATTTAGTAAATGTTTTCTCTTTAATATTCGCACTTTCTGTAGTACTACTATTTCGCTCTTCATTTACTATGACTCTGGCTTTAAATAGAGGAAAGACAAATATAAACAAAACGTAAAAGAACATTTCTTTGTGTTTTTACTTAATCACTTTAAGAAAAAGCCAGTCCAGGTTTCTTGTTCGAACTGCAAAAGGAAAGTTTTTAATGTTTATTTACGTCGTTGACGTTTTATAAGCCATTTACTATGTTAATACAATTATTTGTTTGCTTTTTAAGTATCAACACATTACTTTTTTAGGGATAAAAAACGTCGTTTTGGTTGTGTAATGATTGTTATTGATTTGATTTTAATTATATAGTTTAATATAAAAACTAAAATAACTTTTATTAATTCCTGTCGGATGTCCGTTTTCAATTATATATGTATAAACAATATGAAAAAATTATTCATTTAAAAGTTTATTAAAAAAGTATTAAGAATGTATATACATATATATATATATATACATACATACATACATACATACATACATACATACATACATACATATATATATATATATATATATATATATATATATATATATATATATATATATATATATGTATATATATATATATATATATATATATATATATATATATATATATATATATATATATATATAT